AATTCTTGATTAACTGTGGCAACTGGATAAACAATCGGTGACCCGGTTTAAATTTAAACCTATTCACATTCTCGTATGATGTTTCTTTGAGAATTTCTGGGTTTTCAATGACATAGTTCTCGATATCCATAATAGCATCGTTGTCAATGGACATTAGAGATGATTCATTTTCAAATGCACAGAATTCCAGGATTTTAATAATATCAGCCGGAATTTTTTCATTCAAATATTTTTCTAATTTGAAAATAACATTTTCTAGTCCCTAAAATACAAAACACAACTTAAATTGATATTAAATTTGGATCGAAATAACTATTTACCATTTTGGCGAAATAATGTAAACAATGTAGTTGCAACGATTAACACAACAAATCAATATAGATCTGTCAAGTGCATTCGCATTCGCGCAGCAATATTCGGACGTATTCGCTAATGCGCTGTATAGATACATTAAATGGTTATTCGTACGAATGCGAATATTCGGCACGAATATCAGTATTTGCGAGTGTTTATATTCAAATGCATGGCAAAGTATTCGCGCATTCGTACGAATGACAGTATTCGCATAGAGTGAAATCCCCCTAGATTCATATGTCGTCAATGGTGCAAATGAAAAATGTACACATTCCATTGCTCGAAATATCGCTTATCGTTCACTGTTTAGGGAAAATGTCATTGAATTCGATTTGCGTCATAATCATTCTTTGGGTGATGTATCTTCATCATTTTTGTTATTCATGGCCAATTTTTCGATATGCCAAATATTAATTTAGTTTCATTTAAGGATACTATGGTTGAAATTGAGAGTAGTTTATGTTTATTGACGACTTATATTACGTTTCACTCGTGTTTCATTGCGATTTTTAATTCATTGATACAAGAGATCAAATTGCAATTCGATGGTGCTTGCCATGGCATGGTGCTCGCCATGGCGCAAACGTTGTCATAGGAAGAAAGAACTATTAGTATATTCGCTGTATTGACAAGTGTTGACAAATATTCAAAAGCATTTGCACTGCATTCTCTGCCGTAGTGTTATCAGGATTGTCAGACTTGAAATAAATTGATTTGAAAATCAACAAATAAATGTGCAATTAATTTGATATGAAGAATTTTTTTCAAATCAAATCAATATATATTTGATTTGTTTGATTTGATTTAAAATCCAAAATTGACAACCCTGAGTGTTATCGTTTTCTATTGTTGCTTCGTTTCGTTCGTGGCGATCACGAATGATAGTGGCAAATCCGCATATTTTATTAACCGAATTCGTAGCTATTTATTCAGCGCATTGACGTGTATTGATCCAAATTTGGCAGAATATGCGCTTATTCACAGTATTTAATCGCATTTATTCAGTTCTTTCCCTCTATAGATAAACTTATATCTGTTGAAATAACTAGTTTTATTCAAGATTTGCTGACCGTTTGAAAGCATACTCTGTTTATTCCAATACAAAGTCTTGTGAAACAAACACCACTCTCAATCTCATCCGATGAATGAGTCACCCATATGATTAGATAAGACTTTGAGATCACTTTCAATTAGAATCGTAGTGTTGTTGTGCTCGCATTCGATTTATGGCAGTAATTTTATATTCATTCTGGTTTCACGTTCGCTTTTTCATTCTGAGAACAGCGTGCGTCCAAAAGTAGGCAAGTGAGAGTTCGGTATGTATCAAGGGTTGAATCAGCCCATTCTGTTGATATATTCAAAAAAAAAGATGGAAAAAAAATGGATCGACAAGCTCGAAGAGTGCTTAAAAAAATTCAAGAGCGCAAAAAAAAGCAAGTTCCATTTAAATTATTCAACAGTTTCAATTTGAATATGAATATCATATTGATTCGGATGCGAAACATTTGTATGCAAAGTTTTTTTCGTTATTAGTATTCAATCAACGAGTGTGTTGCACGTTGAAAAGTGAATTTTTCCGCACAACAACCGTTTTTTTTTCTCGCCATTAATTTCTGTGTTCGAGCAAAGAGAAGATTTCGGTTATTCCAGTATGGAGTAAACATGTGCTTGTTCTACAGCCGTACAATGCATTGAAGTTCGATGATTTATTTATTTATGATATGAGAGCATCGCTGTTTCGAAATAACACACGAAAACAAAACAAAAAACGTTTGATTGGATAAGCATTTATTGATTGAGCCAACACATTTCTAAATGTAAACTATCACGGAATATGAAATGATTTGCAAATAACCACCCCAATCCGTCCGCCTCGTAAACAACCAACAAAACAATTCCATTCATTTTTCCCGAAAATACCACGAAGAGTCAAATTAAATTTGCATGCAGATGGAAATTGTGTAGTTGCGCATGCATTTTCGATTGACTCTCACAGCCATCGCTGGAGTGGGCGATGGAATTGTGCATCATTTTGAAATTGAAATAATTTTTGCCGTTAACACATATCTCGGATATGAGTTTATCTTCAACTTTCGATCAGTTTTGATGAACATATTCTCATTATTTTTGCAATTTTTCGTACGGAACAATGTTCTCATTGCATTTTCGTAGATGTGCTAAGTCCTTGTGAGTATTGAGAGAATGGTGGATTATTCATCATTGACCGAGATTTTGAAACAGAGATAGAGAGCGAGATTTCAATATCTATTTTCTGTATCTCAAATGGTTACCAGGTGATACTTCAGTCGCCCAACCCAGCGATGGCTGGGAGAGTCAATCGAAAATGCATGCGCAACTAAATTGCGTCGTTTCAACGCAAACTATTCACAAATGGAAAATTCTCGGAATTTCCATGTGATTCGGTTCACTCTCGCTCCCGTTCACTCTCGCTCCCGTTCACTTGATATATCTTTCGCTACCCTTAACTCAAGAAATCGTTCCAACTCCCGTTCGCTTTATTCTAGCCACACTTGCGAGTACAAGCTTCATCTCTCGCTCTCTGCTTCTCTCTCTCTCTGTGTGTCTCCCTGTCTTTGTCTCTTCCTTCCTATTTCTATCTCTTTCTCTCCTTCTCAAATGTATAAATCGGCTGAAATATTTTCGATTAAGACATTCCGTACATGCATTGTATCGCCTGAGCACCATTTATATATCGCTGTAGAAGAATTGCATTGCAAAACATGGATTTTGTCGAGCAAATTTCCATGCAAACGTTAAATTATGATTTAAGGCCATACATCTGCCATTTTGTGTCTTATTTCGCGAAATCATGAAATCATGCGAAGCAAACGCTCTCTCATCGGCATCAATATCATATCAACTCTTGAGAATTGAAACCTAATTCAATGCAATCAACAGCCGTTTCATGCCAATTAATCCAATTGATGCAGTTTTGTTCACACAAGAATGGGGCCATTTTGCTGTTGTTGTGTAGTGAAATACAAGAAATCAGCTAATGGAATGCTCTCTCCCTTTCTCTGCAATGTTTGCCAATGTTTTTGTATGCTTTGTATCGTCTTTCAAATCGATCCATCATTTGCGGAATGTGCAAACATCGCGCATATTCTCCTAACACTGAAACAAAACAAAAAATTCGCTTGCTCCAATCCAAAACTTAATTTCACAAGACTTAATAAACCACGAAATTCAATCACCATCACTCTTGATTCATGGCTGCGCCGAAGAGAACCAAATCGAAATCATCAGCAATATCAAATTGTGTCACCATTACCATCGAAAATTGCAAACATTTTTCAGCCGAACGAAAGAGTAATTAAGTGTCAAATTTTGTCTAAACCATAAAAATCACTTCAATTATTCAGTATGTAATTCGCATTGTACACAAGCACATACACACACGTACGGTACAGCGCCTCAGTTTGTTTGAATAGACTTAATGGCAATTCAAAGGATCTACTTCTCTTCGCAGTATTTTCACATATTTGCACAGTGCGGTTTTGTAATAAATGGAAAGCGTCGCCACACACACACACAAAGGCTATATGCATGATGTTTACAGTGTACACATAGTTCTGTTGATGCGAAGCAAACGGCAGTAGAAACCAGAGGTAAAGAGCCACAGCAAAATCACGTCAGAATGAACTGGCACGAACTAGAACGAGCTAAAGAGACAGCAATCGAGGCAGAGTGAAAGCGGAACAGAGATAATCCGAGAACATTGTTTAAGGGATGTTCGACATTTGTTTGCCAATGCATAAGCAGTAAGATGTTGATAAATTATATTGTATTTCCATTTTGATGATGAAGCATCGATGATGTGCACTTTCACTCCCTATGCCTCCAATACTCGGCTCGCTTTTGCTAGCTTTTTCTCTCCCACTCTCTCCCTTCTTATGTTTGCCTCCGTCGCTTTCCTTTGTGTCATCAACAGAACTTCGCTCGTTGTGCTTACGAGCGGTAGCGGTGGTGGCGATGATGGTGGTTTCAATGCGTGCCATTTAAAGTCGATTTTTGGTGATTTCGTGCATCGAGGATTTTCCGACATTTTTTTTTTTTTGCCCATAAATTTTCCGCATTTTGCGTACCAGCCTAGTTTAAACCTATCAAATAGACACCAGTATTACTGGACTGATGATATATATGTTCATGCTCTCAACGCATCATCAGTGTCGTTACGACTTTTCAAAGCTTTAAGCCGCCCAATGAAAGAGGGTGTTTTTTTTCATTGCTTTACGACGAACGACGAACGAAAAAAAATCGATTCCGTTTCGATATGAACGCTGAAGAAAAAAAAAATTGTTCTACACCAAACGACATTCATCTGATTTGACAGATTAACGGAAAAACACTTAATTCTTCCGTTTCATCAAATTCCATCGATTTAAACGCTTCTCTTCCAACCCATTAACAGTATCAAATGCCACGGTTGATTTTGGCGAAAAGAACAGTTTGCGCCAAACCATGTTTGCTTGCCAAGGCACTTCGTTTTTCATGAGAAAAAATCTCTGCAAAATTTGGTTGTTCAACTGAAAAGAGATTTTTTCCGTACGACGTACGTTCTAAGAATTTTGGACGTTTTGAGGAAATGTTCCCATGAAAATGATTCATCAATCGATTATTTTCCATTTATTTTATTGTTCATCGGTTTATTCATTTAAACAAATGGTCGAAAGAATCACACTGACAACAGCGTATGGGTCGCAATTTGAGCTCGGACGTCTATCTTCGAAGTAGCCGCAACCATTGTCGGCAACCGTTTTCGGAATTCGAATTGAAGCAGAACGATTAGAAACACCTGTTTAACCAAAATACACAGAAATTATTTTGGAAGTTCAAACTATCAGTTGCAATGACTCTGAATTACCGGCGCTGAAATCATGAATGGAGCTAGTTGCACATCCAGCAACCAGACGACGTTCGTTATCTTTTCCTCCCTTTGGATCATAGGCTTTTATGTGTTTATCATGGCGTTTCGATAATTTGTCAATAGCCGTATGAATGGCGGTGATTCCACCCTTGGCACGTGTTGATTTTGTTGATACATTACAATGCGCTCCAGAGCCAAACCATTCACCCTCCATGGGCTTTGGATCGAATGTGACAACAATCTGAAAGTCGAACATTTTTAACAATAAGCTTAAACCATTCCTGATTCATCTTACGCCAAAGTCCTCCGCAATGCGATGCAACAAGAAACGGGCAACCCATAAATCATCAGCGACCGTGACATCTGGACAGGGTCCAATTTGGAATTCCCATTGTGCTGGCATTCCTTCAGCGTTGGTTCCAGCAAGTTTTATACCGGCATAGAGACAGGCACGAGTGTGAGCTTCAACCACATCACGACCGTACACTTTCTTAGCGCCAACGCCACAATAGTTTTCAACCCCTTGCCGGCCAGGACAACCATTTTTTGGCCACCCGAGCGGATGCCCATCAAAATCTAAAAATACGTACTCTTGTTCGATACCAAACCAAGGCTCTTCAGCGGCACATTTAGCCGCGATTTCGGCGCATTTATTACGACGATTCTTGACTGATGGTTTACCATCGCCGGAATATGTTTCGCACAACACTAGAATATGATTGCCCTGACGGAATGGATCTCGATAAATTTTAACTGGGTGTAAATACCACTCGGAAAAGGTACCATCCGCTTCGCCATGGCCAGCAGCCCAAATTGGAAGCTCTAAAAACCGAAGCGAATATAAACAAAAATAAAAATAAAATTCAAATCACAATTGAACCGAAGCTACAACAAGTTGAAATCGGAATCATTTTTTCTGTTATCATGTTTAAATTGATTTGATGAATTTGATGGATGTCGTCGTTTTAAAATGGTTCAATTGTCTAATAATATTCGGTTGAGAGGTATTTATTTATGATTCACTTCAAACCGTGAGACATATTTTTTTGGTATTTAATTTTAATGAAACGGTCACTAAAATTAAGAAACGGTTACTGAAAATCTGGAATTGGTTGCGAAAAAGAGGAATTAATCTTCAAAAATATTAATTAAAAAAAATTAAATGGTCACTAGAAAAAAAGATATGGAGTACTATTTAAATTAAATGAATTTTGAAAATAAATAACTGGTCTCGAAAATTAAAAGAGAATTTTTTTCAAAAATATAAATTTGATCTCTATTCATAAGAAGTGATGCCCAAAAATAATCTCTAATTGAATTCGAAAAAAAGGAAACGATCTCTAAAAATAATAAAGCGGTCACTTGTTGTAAAAAATCTCAAAAAAATGAAACGGCCTCCAGAAAAAAGAAACGGCCTCCAAAAATAAACGGTCTCCTAAATAAAAGGTCTTTCCGATGGAGAACTTTTTCACCCTGTTGTCCAAAATAATGGACTTCATTCATGGCTATTATTCAGATCATTGAAGTTGCTGACTATGTAGCGATGCTGGTGTACAGATCTGTTTAACAGCAGCTGTTGGTTGTGTGCATATTCGCTGTGACATGCGCTTGTTCATTTAACGATTCTCACACATAGTGTTTGTCCCTTGCATCCACAAGGAAACAGACAGAGAAGCGTATACAACAGACTCTGAGAGAGATTTTTATCTTGTTCTTTTACCGTTATTTGTCAACAAGTCTGCCTATATCCACGCATTGCCACTTTACATTGTATAAGTGTAGAGTCGCCTTAATAGTCCTTTCAGTATTCCATAGTAGCTGTGTGTCGTTTACAGTGTAGAACGACACACGAACTGACGTAACAAGACATTGTATAGTCGTGCGATATTCATTCGCTAGCAGCAGAACCGAACACATTTAATAAAGATTTGATTGAATCATAAATACCGCTGTACACTTATTACAACATAGTATACAGTCCATAAGAAATGTAAAATGTTCGCCATTTAGTTTTACATTGCCAATACATTAGTTATGGGGATTTTTATTTTGTTTATTTTTTGTTGTTTGTAAACAAATCTGCCTATCTTTTTGCATTGTCTCTGTGTATTTATTATGGACATATACTATGTACAGTGCAATGCAAAAAGATAGGCAGATTTGTTTACAAACAACAAAAAATAAACAAAACAAAAATCCCCATAAGAAATCTATTGGCAATCTAAAGTTTTACATTTAGAGATTATTTTTATATTTTTTTCTAGATTTTGATTTAGAGATTATTTCTATATTTTTGGAGACCAGATCCCTTTTCTTCCCGCAAAAATTTCAATATTTATGGGAACCATTTCATTTTTGCATTTAGTGATCATTTTTTTATTTATAGAGATAAAAAGAAGCTTTTTGGATGCAATTTTTTATTTTTAAACACCAGTTTATTTTTTAAGGTAGCCAAAATAAGATTTTCTTAAGACCGTTCTATTTTTTTTTTGGAGACCAATTCGTTTATTTTTGCAAATAATTTTATTTTTTCTAGATCACAATTTATTATTTTCGGCTGTATAATTTTATTTTTTTCTGGAGATCGTTTTCATTCATTTTTTGGAGACCATTTCATTAATTTTAGAAATTCATTCTCATTTTTGGAGATCATTTCATTAAAAATAAATACCAAAAGTCACCTTCCCCTTCAACCGTACCGTTTACTGATTTGGGAACAAAATCCAGAGCACGATCTTTAGAGCAAATGTCTAGAGCGGGACCATCAAGCCAGATGTATGTTGCCATAACTTTGTTCGCTGGTAGCTCCAATGCCAAATAGCGATCTAACACTTTTTTGCTGATCAAAGCATTCGGAGATATTTCCAATGTTTTCGACATCTGCAAATAAAAACGAAGAAATTCAATAGCGTTGAATAAATTTACAATTTTTCTGTGTGTAAATCTGGATCACTTATAACTTCAAATTCACTCAAAAACATTCACGAAATGAAAATTTACATCAATATACTACAAGGAATAAACAATTTCCTTTTGTCATTATTATATGCGTGTTCGTGAAAAAATGAAAACTCATTTTTAGATCCAAATTATTAACATTTGAAAAAAAAAATGCATTTTAAAAACAAAATAAGGACCTTGGTAGCTAATGAGTTATTAATACATACCTTGTAATGCTGATAATAAAATCTTGTCTACGTGTTATTTCTATATTGAACTTGAATTTGTTTACATCAAAAGTTATTTTTATTTTTTATTTTATTTTTATTGATTTATAATGGTGTTGAAAACAGGAAAAATCCCAATAACATTCTTCACCTAAAGTTAACTGATTCACAATTTCATTCGACTGCTTGGGCATGAATTGTGTGCTCGGTTTAAATATTTGCGATTTCTGGCTATATTTGCGAAATAAATCACATTTTTGAGTGTGATTTTCGGGTCTTATCTCATCAATATCACTTTCTAGATGTGTTTTCGAATGCTTTATCTATCTATAATGTGCGTGATAAGATAAGAGAGAGTTACAATTATGACTAAGCGTGTCGAGCAGTTTATTATCACAGAAAAATTCATCCAATGTTTCAACTGAAATGTTGAAATTATGGTGTTTGTGTGTGGACACTCCGATAAAAGTAAATTGAATTTTGAAAAGAATGAATTTTTCATGTTTGGGTTCAAAGACGGCTCATTTTTTTTGCTTGGAACTAAATCATGTGATTTGAGTACAATAACATTATCAAATCATGTATATAAACAATCAACATGGCAGTTTAATAAGCAAACAGCTTGCAAGTCTGATTATCTGAAATCAAATAGAAATTTCCTACTGATAATAAAAGTTTATTGCTTCGTTGAGCAATGCGTCAAGTGTAGAAAACTATGTTAATTTTATGGGGCAATATCAAAATTTGTACTAATTCTCAAATGGAGATGTTGCGATTTACTGCTTCAAAACAGACCAGACACCGAAAGGTACAAATGGTCGTTAAATGTTCATTGTTATTGTTGTCGAATAACCATTGCTTACCAAGCATTCGATTTTCCATTCAAAATGTTCAATTTTTCGAACATTTGGTAGGTAATGAGCCAATTCTCAGCTGTAAATACAAATATTTTGGAAAATTTGACCGAATTTCGAAAAAAATTCTTCAGATTTTCAATCAATTTTTATACAGTTTTCAATATTTTAACCAAAATTACAAAAAAAAAAAAACAAAAACTAAAATCATTTTAGAAAAATCTTCAAATCATTTCATTAAATTAAATTCTGCAAAAACTCTTAATTTTGGAACAAATAATGTTATCACTTTGCGAACCAATTTTCAATTTTGCTAATTTTCTGTACGTTTTTTTTTTTTCTCTCGATTGATCGAAATAATTGCTGATTCGAAGCAAATGCTTAAGCATTAAAACTAATAGCATTTCATTAGTCTAATATATGAGGCTGAAGAAAATGATATTAATGCCACCGATAATAAAAGCAATTTATTTAATTGAAATTGTCGTTGTTGCCAGTGCGAATGCAATACGATGTGTGTGACTGTGTATTCAACGTCTTCGTTGTTAAAAATAAATGTTAATTAGAAGACACAACAATAAATATCAAAACTGAATGCGAGTCGAAATGTATGGAAAAGGTGGCAGCGAATGAAGCAGAAGCTGGTTTTCGATGTGGATTTGGTGAAGATTCACGTTTTCCCGGGCAAAAGTTGGATAAAGACATAGTGTGCAGATATATGAGACTTAAAGTCGTGGAATGTCTTATGAAAAAATGATGAAGGTCTATGCGCCTATGATTTTGAATGGTGACAATACATGTACTCCATCTGTCTATTCGAAGGCATACATTTAGGAACTATCTCTCATATATAGAATGTTGAAACTAGTGACTCATGAAAATAGTAAGAGCACTCGTCAAAGAGAGAGAGAGCGAGCGAGCAAGTGAGCGATAGATAGATATAGTAGAGTAAATTCAAATAACACAACACACAACGCCAACAGAACTGAAACATTTTAATGGCTCTTGTGCTTCAGCGTCTTCAGCATACACAGTCTCTCACGCACACCAAACTACTTGGGAATACACCATGTATTTTTTTCTTTCTTTTCTTCTTCTGTTATTGCTGTTGCTGCTGCTGCTGCTGCTTCGTCTTGTATGCTGTTTTTTCTCTTCGGTTTTTCGTTTTCCGTTCAGCAGTATCATGCGGTTTGATGTGTGTTTCTTTTTCCTTTCGGTTGTTTCTTGCTTCACATTTTTAAATTCTCATGGCACCGCACGCTCACATATGTGCGAGCACAGACGGTTTTAAATGAAATTACTAAGCATACTACGCATATGGCATATTATACTATAAGAGTATGAAAAAAAAAACGATCTTAAGCCGAACTCAGCGCTCACATTGAGAGTATTGTCGTCGTTTTTTTCTCTTCTTCTTCTTCTTCTACGATATATGCTGTTGCCTTCCCTTCGTTTTACCGCGTACATTTCATCTTTGACGTTTTCGATTTGGTCTCTTGGTGTTTTATCTCTCTTTCTCTCTCTTTTTTTCCACCTCCTTCTTTGCCTGCTTCATCTTCTTCTCCTTCGCCATCGTCATCGACATCAGTGTCGTTGTTACTGCTGTTGTTGTTTGCGTCTTTTGTACTGTTGCTTGCTCAGCAGCGCGCTTCTAGTGAACCAAAACCATTGACCGCAACAGTGCATACGCAACAGTCAAACCGACCGAATATCCATCCGCCACGACTCTACAACAACACATAGCCCACCGAACACAAGTGGTTTGGTGTGTGCGCGCGTCTTAAATTCATCTCTATATACATTCATTGGCATTGTCGTTGATGTCTTATAGATATTCCATAACGACACCAATAAATAGTCAAACAAATAAATCGTTGATTTTCAATTGTTTTGCTGTGTGTTGTGTGATTTTGTTTGAAATGTCGTCGTCGTCGTCGTTTTCGGTTTGTGATTTCACTTCGATTCCAACACACTCTGAATTTTTGTTAAAGTATCAATCGTGATTAGAGTTGATCGAGTTCGTAAGCCCTAAAACGGCGATTAACAACCAAGTGCCTGTTCTTCGACACAGTGAAGAAGAAAAAAAAACTCGCTTTTTGAACTAAATCAACGACCAAAAGTGTAGCACGAACGCAAAAACCTGTTTATTCCAACGAAATTTTCGACGATCATTATTTTCTCTCCGTCAGAGTATTATTTTGAAGACGAAAATATTGTTTAAGCCTCAAACAAACTTCGAGGAAAACAAATCAACTTCTTCGAATAAATTTGACTAACAACGAAACAAAGTGAATCGAGCAGCAGCAAAGAAAAAAAAAACGGTTAAAATCGGTTCGAATTTGTGCAAACAATGCTAATTCCAGTGGATAGTTAAACAGCAACAACACTACAAATATTGTGCATGAAAACATCAACGCCCGCAGGTGGTTTCTTTTTTTTCGTTCTGCCGTTGGTGTCTTGAAAAGAAAAGGAATTATAAATTGGATCTAATAGCGCGCGTATGTGTATGCGGCTGTTTTGTTCTTTTCTTCAGTTAAAAAATTCCGGAAAAAAATAACAACAACAAGTGTATTATTATGACCCGGGTGTGATTGTGTTTGTTAATGTGGTTGCTAAAAAAAGAATCTCAGCGCGAGAAATAGAAAACACAACACGACGAAGGTAGAAAAATCCAAAGTGATTCTCTCAACTTGGGTAAAACGATGAATACCACTGTTAAATCGCAACAAAACGATAGACGCTTCGTGTTTGTAATAAAATTTTCTGTTGTTTGAAGTGAAGAAGCCTGAGATAGACGCTCTTGACACGCTCACAATTATTTATTACGAAGGCAATTACCCCTTAGTGCTACGAATTAACAGAGAGAGAGAGAGAGAGAGAGAGAGAGAGAGAGAGAGCGCGAAAAAGAGTAGATAGAAGCAAATCAAATTGCTGTTCTACGTGAAGTCAAAGTTAATTGACAGTTTTATCTGTGCGGAATCGGCCCATTGGAATGCACCGCCGACAGTGAGAGCAGCAACAGCAGCAAAACCAGTCGCACATTGCAACAAGTACACAGCAGCCGGATGTTAGCAACACTTTTCCAGGATTGGATTTAATCGTTTACGCATCTTTTGTTGTGTGCGATTTCTTTTTTATTCCCTTCCAAAAAGGTATGTGCAACTATTTATCTAATGATGGAATTCACTCGAATATCACTTCAAGTGTTTGCTTCGCTATTTTTTTTTTGCTTCGTTAAGAAAATTTCTTTCATTCGATTGCATTGTCGGGAAGAAATTTCACAGAACTTAGCTAATAAAACGTTGAATTGGCCGAGATCAACCGAAACTATGTGCAAACAATGGGGCAATGAGTGGAGAGAGAAGAGAAAAACACGGTCGAACTGTTCGACTCGAACATGATCAATGCATTCGATTAATCGATTGAACTGCATAGGCCAAGCTCGGTCGGGCTCTTCAACTGCAATGTGAACGGTATAGGCCATACACAATTGACTCCGGGTGCGATGCAATGTAAGTGCAAATGAACATGGGCACGTACATGTATTCAATTTCTCGCATATTATTCTCTCTCTCTCTCTCTCGTCCGGTTGCCAGCACTCTATATCGAACGCATTTTAATGTGAAAGTGTATCAACCTCGGATGGAAGAAGAAGAAGCAATAAAACCGCTCATGTTAATCCAGAGATACGTACACACAACGCATTTTTCACTTTGAATATCCGATGCAAATCGATAATAATACATTATCTTGGAAACGGTTTTTTTCTTTCTCTGCCGCGGCAAGAGAGACAATTGTCGCTGCTGTTGATGTCGTCTCAGAGGAAGGGAGTGAGAGATGGAATAAGAAAGGAAGTGAAGGAGATAGTAAGGGAGTGTGGGATAGAGTAAGAAAGTCAGTAAAAAACAGAGGAAGAATGACAGAGGAAGAGAGCAAAGAGAACGAAAGAAGCTAAGGGAAGCAAAGAGAGATAGCGCATTTGCATTCGTTCAAGAGACAGAGACTAAATGGACTGCAAATGAGCCTGATAACGGGAAAGGAAGAGAGTGAGCGAAAGTGCAAGAGACTCAAACTGAGTGCGAATCATAAATTCAAAGGTTGATACCGAGTCAGCAATTATGCAAAAAAGGGCTTGAACGGTGCTTCATAAGTGCGATTGTTTGCGATATTCAATCAGTCATAACACGCGTGTGTACCGAGGTCGAAGTAGAAATATGCAAAGTAGATACATGTGCTCGCCACCGCGTACATTTCATGTACGTTACGCATTCACTGTGAAAAAGAAACGTTTTCTTCCAAAAATGAATGCCGCTTTTGAGCACTTTCGTATGTGTGTGTGTTAATAACATTTTTATTTCCATTCAATGCAACATGTTGATGCTGCTTTTTCTTTGCCGTTTTTATTTCTCTGTCTTCAGCTTTGGCATTCGTTTTATTTTGGGCGCGATATACTTATATTATACAAAAGCAATCCGAAGGCGCCAAATGAAATCGTTATGTTTCACTTCATTGTTGGATATGTATTCATTCGGATGACAGTTGTAACCAATTGAGTCACCTGCTGCAAATACAATCATTTACAAATTATTCTCGTTATTCGTCGTTGTAGTGCTCTTTTCTCTCGGTTATTGTATTATTGGGCGTAAATTGTGTGAGTGTATGATGTATGATGAAAAAAAAGGGGAACAAAGTCAGCATGCGTTTGTCGTAACAGGAACCATTGACCGGTTTTATTCATGAGTGTTTCAGGTCAATAAAATAACAATGAACGACAACGACAACACATTCCCCCCGGAACAAAAATATTCCAAATATTGGAAATGTTCCCGGAATAAAAAAAATAACAACAACCAAACAAACGAATGATCAACGAGCCAACGTCAAATGGGAAGAAAAAAAAATTCCGAAAAATTTCGAATTCTCTCATCATATCTCGCACAACAAATCATTTTCAGCTTTTCTCTCTCTCTCTCTCTACCTCTTTGCCACTTTTCATCTTTGTTATTCGTCACACAACAGATTTGTGTGTTGTGCGTTTTATTGTCATTTCACAAGAATTTCCATGAATGAAATGGACATTCATGTGTCCATTGAGAGAGAGAGAGAGAGAGAGAGAGAGAGAGAGAGAGAGAGAGAGAG